GAGGGAGGGGGGGGAGCCTTCGGGGGGGGGGTGCAGCGGGGGGTTGGGGCAGAAGGGCAGGAAATTGGAGTGGAGGTTTGATCAGATCCCCACTTGATGGGCTGAATGGCCTGCTTCTGTTGCTTTCCCTCGAAGCGACGGCTCGTCGTTTACCCAGCCGTGCGGCTCTGTTTCCGCAGAAATTCGCCGGATCGTTCCTGAAGACATCATCTTTTCCAGAACGTTCTGAGGGATGGCAGAGGGGGTTGGGGGGTAGGCGGGGTGCGCGTGGGGTTGGATGGAGGGAGGAGGTTGGGTTTGAAGACGGTCGGGGAGGGGGTTGGGGGCAGAAACAGAGGCCGAGCGGGATGGGGGGGCAGCGGGGTGCTGGGGGATGTGAAGGGAGCCATAATTCGAACGCAGTGAGCCGGACCTTAGCACGCAGCGAAACTCTCAAAGGGCTAGCACAGGCACAGACGGCTGAATGGCCTCCTTCAGGCCCCGATAGGAGGGCTCGCTCCTCAATCCGTTGGATGCAGACAGATAGCGCCCGACCCCAAGGAAGGTGGAGAGGAAGTCCTTTGAAAGGCCTGAGCATTTTTGTTGAGCGAGGGACATTGCAGACAATTCGATGGGCTGAACGGTCTCCGTCGCTGAGTGATCGGGGTGTATTTGGACGGAGGAGAGAGGTTTTGTGCTGGCGCATCGGGGAGGGAACCGCGAGGACAATGTGGAGAGGGGATGGAGCTAGAGCGAGGGCTTCAGGTTCACATGGGACGACATTTCCGGTCGGCGCACAGTCCGATCCCAGCGGCCAATCACCGATCTCAGTTCCAGCCTTTGAAGAACTGCTTGAAAAAGGCAGTCTCCAGACCCTCAGGAATGATTTCCACCTGGAACCGAAACAAGACGCGGTTAATGAGGCCCCGTTAGAAAGGAACAGGAGGCCATTCAGCCCCTTCTCCAGCCTGTTACACAGGGGACAGCAGGAGGCCATTCAGCCCCTTCTCCAGCCTGTTACACAGGGAA